TTATCTGAATGGAATTTCTGGTGAATTATTAATAAAGACAATGCACATGACTGGAATATTCAACTTCAGTTGATCATGGTGCAGTTTCACCACTAATCAATACATATGCAGGAGGCACCTTTGGAATGTGAACAACCCAATGTTAACATAATCTGAATTACATGTTTGGTTAAAAGCCAAACTGTCTTTTGGTTCATCTGTGTCCACGTTAGGCACCTCTGGAAGCGCTTACCCCTGGGTCCTAAGAAAATGCAAATCAGTGATGTTTGTCTTGAAATCTAGTTTCCGTGAATATCACTTTGTGGAGTGTATCATATGTGAGATGGAAACACCACTCGCCTCTCTCAAAATGACGTGAGATAGATAAACATCTTGCTTTATCTTGTCAATTCAAATGAAGGTCTTTCAGGTCCTTTCCTGTTCTTTCCAGTATGATAGCTTTTCGATCTGTTGTTCACTGCCAGTTGTTGCCTGGGATAAGAATATTATGGCGTTATGTAGAAGTATCTTCCTTAGCTGGAAATTTGGTACATATCGTGTTTTTACTTGTCCATTTGATCAACACCTGACCTTCAGCACCTTCACTGGAAAAATGAAACGTGCAAGAAACAGACATTGGCCATTGTTGTTCCGACCGGACAGCTTGTGTTCTGTGTTCCAAATATATAAAGCCCTGCCCCACGGTCCGTAGACACGATTGACTCGGGGCGTTAGATTGCTTCCAACTGTCGGGGCAGGCCAAAAACAGTTAGAAAGATGGTTGACATGGAGAAGCACGAAGAAGAGGATAACCAAGTTCTATTTTTACGCGTTTGAAAGAAACGTGACGAACGTTTTTGGTGGCTATGTATAACTCCACTCCTTGTTCACGGTCAACAGTGTGCGTGTGGTAAAGGCATGATACACATGGGTTCCCTCTGACTCATTGATTCTCTTTTAATTACGCCAGTCGAGGGCGTTTCCCACTGGATTGAAGCTGATGATTGAGACTGTGGGCGGCTGGCAAAAAGTTCAAAACTAGCACCCTTATACTCGCGATCAGGCATATCAAGAGAACCAAACGTCATGAAGATCCACCATCGTCAGCTAGCTTTTTTGGGGTTGCTAACCACCTGCGCCGCCGTAAACGAATCGCCACAATGTACTAGGGATTTAATTTCTCAATTGAACGGTCAGTGCCTTACTGACTTTTACCATGCTCTACCTGATCATGATCAACGTGCAAGACTAATATTCCAAGCTGAAAGCACTAGGCAGGACTGGCGCCGACATTATCCCTCCCCAAGTCATGGGTGGCTCCGATTTCGACACAATCTCTTCCTCAATTCATGAGTCAGGTTTTGGTGATATGCCCTCCAGTTCTTCGCCGCCCCTACTGAATAGAAGTGACAAGCTACTAGGTGTAAACTTACTTAATCATCCTTCTGGGGAGCTTCGCAATGGTCCAACGGTTGTGCCTTATGCAATTCACATCCGAACCCCATCAAACAAAAGAACGAGAGAGGACGAACCTCCCATGGCGTTCAGTATTCACTCTGAATCAAGAAAACCAACCGAAACACTTGATTTATTGAAGGAATTTGGAAAGTATCCAATGCAAGACAGCTCGGCCAACCTTATTGTAACCCCTATGCAGGCTGTGTCTCCTCATAGGACGACTCAAATTGATGGAAATCAGTCTCGTGTTCTGATAGAACAAAAGCGAAGGATTCTCTCAGTTGAGCCTGTTCTTACTCCTCAAGATTCTTTGGAATTATTTGAAAATCAGATTCAATCTCCGGTGGTTACAACGCCGCGGATGACACCAGACGCCTCAGGCAGCCTTGACGAGGAACTAGAAAGCGACGGATCCTCTGATCGAGCGGCACGAATTGATAGGACACCTGTTCAAGTAGACAAGGTGGTAGAGCCCGTGGGAATCGTACCAGGAACCGGCCCGAATTTACAAAGCGACATCAATCTCGAAAGTCAACCCCCAAATAGTGGTGACGATAAGCTGCTGAGACTTGAATTTACTCACGAGATGCTTAAAACACACGAGCCATTAACAGAAGATAAATTGGTGATTGAAGAAATCAAGAAACTGAATGAGCATTCAAAAATCTACATTTCCGAAAGCAACTTCATTGATGCTTTGAAGATAATCGGAAATTGTGCCCGCATAATGAAAAGGGATGGTCCGATTGAGCTAAGGTCCAGATATCCTCATTGCAACCCCAAATCCCCAAGAAACTGCTACGTAGAAAGCCAATTTGAAACACTGATTAACAATCACGATGCATGGATTGCCTTTTGGAATCACAGAACTAAAATCAATCTTGAAAAGGCCATCCCTAAGAAAACCCCAAAATTCAAAAAAATCTTTCCGCTTTTCTTATTTTATGTTGAGATGATTGATGCGATTTTTCCCAAGATTGAAGGAACATCTCCAAATCAACACGATGGAAAACTACTTGAATCAGCCATCAAGGTTATCCGAACTGTTCAAAGTCGAAATCTAACCAAACAAGAATTGATTAGAAGTCACGTTGCAATAACAGGATATGACATTTTGACAAATGTAGGTCATGGTCTTAATACACTACTTTGGAGATGCTTAAAGATTTGGATACATAAGTCAGGTAGACAGAAAGTTTTGGAAACTTTCTGCAACCCAACACAAATCATGAATTTTGAGATTTTCATCAATAAAATCTTTTGTCTTTCGATTGAAACGTTCCACGTGAAATTATTGAAGAAATCTGCTAGTCTCCATTAATCAATATAGGTATGACTAAATAGATTAGATGCTTAAATGCCATTATTTTCCTGGAAATTGTTCCCCCTCATGTTGTTCATCATGTGTGTTTTCAAAACTAGATGCATGCACACTCACACAAAGGCTCCTGGTAATGAAATCTCTAAGGGATTCCAGAGTTTTGATCTGTTGGATTGATTAATCCTGTATGTAGTACTCCTATGCCTATACTGAGTTATGCTTATATCAAGCCTGCCATTACTACTGAGTTACCGGATCTCTCTTCTCTGACTCTTTCCTCACTGAATCAATACATATTATTCTCATTGTCAAAGTCCCATTGTGAGTCTCAACATCAGTCTCAGTTTCAGTCCCTGGTGTCCCTCAACACAATCCACCTGGTCAATCAATGAAGTGCAAGATCTGTCAGTTCAAACATTGTAGGTCCAGTAATTGCTCAAGTAAAGGAATTGTTTAATTTGAGCCCCAGAGTAATATATAAATCAATGGTAGATGTAGATGATAGAATAAGACCCCTCAAATAAGCCAAAGAGCAATACAATGCAGAATTATCTTTGAATCAACAAAATTGTCTGAGTTTCAGCATTTTTCTTGTATGATACCACCAAATTTACCCCTCAATCATACAATAAGAGAATGGTTGGACAGATGGATAAAGCTGTATCATGTGGGCCAGGAGTATATGATGTAGAGTGAAAAATTCAATCAAGAAAAAAATCATTAACAAAACATAATTTTCTGGTATGCTGAATATCCAGCCATTCATTATGGAAAAATAATCATGTGAGACATTGGCTTTATTTTTGATCTATTCATATTATTATAGAGATGAGAATATCTGCATAAATTGGTATTCAGAAGAAACCCCTGACATTGACCACCCAATCAACACAGTCACTGCAAGGATTTTTAACCTAAGCAGTGTTCAAACAGATGGAATCATTCATTATGTGGTGGGTGTGAAGCTGCTGTAGAATGTAATGTCTGACCAGTTTGTAGGCAATGCTGGTGGTTACATGCAACAATCCAGTACATGTATCACTATCAGCCAATTTCCATCTTTCATCAATTAACTTGTCTGACAAGCCAGAGTGTCCAACAAGTGCTTGGATACATATGTCCAATTGGGTTGGCAGCCTGAATGCAATGGGCTGTGGATCTTGTTGGACAAAGTCAGCCCATGCACAGACTTGCTTGTCCAACAAATTCATTGATGCAGTGCCCCATACAACTCTTCATTTCAGATTAGAAATAAGTTTTGGGATGCGCAATCAAGCCAAAAGGGTTTAATTTTATGACATATGAAGTAGGAGGAAAAATAAAGGGAAAAACATTCAAATGAAGATTTTCTCAAATCAGTTATACCCAAGTGTCCTTCCTAAGGTTGATAAAAATCTTGGGCTCAGGAATTTAGCTGATGCTGGGTTGCAGAAGTTTACTTGTGGTTGAAGCAATCGGGTAGAGAAAGCAGGAGTCAAGAAAGAAAGAAAAAATCAAGAAAGGAAAGTAGGGGGACTCAGGGTGAAGTTTGAACCAGGGTTACTCACTGGCCCGAAGGTGTAAGAAAAAAATCAAAAGGGGATTCTATAGAATCTGACGCGTTTGAAAGCATCGTAAGAATGATCGTTTCGGAATACACTAATGTCAGGTCTCCTGAAGCACCCTCAGGCTCCCTCCCACTCCACCTGGTGACGAGGATAACTAATTTCTTGCGACTCGTTACTTTCATAACGCTGCTTTGGAGGAGGGAGAACTGCCAGCTTCTAGACAACAGATCAGAAAACAGCATGAAGATTAGCAACCGGCATCTAGGGTTTTTAGGGTTGATAGTTGTTTGCATTGCCTTGGATGAACTACAGGGTGCCGAAGATTTGCTTTCTCAGTGGGAGGGTGAGTTTTTGACTGCCTGTCTTTGTATGCGCAACCGGTACCTAACTTTGTACGACTAACTTTCCAAACAACGACCAGCCGGTCGAATTGGCGATGGCCTTACCACTCCAAAAGTCATGGATGGCTCAAATTCGAACACAGTTGCTTCCACGGCACAAGCGCCAATCAAAGAAACTGATTTCACATCAAAACTCGATACTCGCCCCTCTAGCTTTCACCGTGAAGGCGATGTGCCAAATCTTACACCTTCGCTACTCCGGGGCAACCGAGGGGAAAAGCTACTTCGATCCAACCTGAGAGAAATTAACAGGGAAACGGAGCGTGTCATGCGTTTGGGAACTCACATTCAAACGTTATCAAACAGAAGAAGGGCAGAAGAGATTCGCATAAAAGTCAACCCTTACTCCAGATCCTCAAATCCACCGGAAACACTTGATCTTTTGAAGAAACTGGAAAATAATTACAAGCCGCCAGACCCCATTGCCAACTTGGACCAGATGCTGAGACGGGCTGTGTTCCATGATAGTACGGATCTAGTTAATCACCCGACGCCGTGCAACTCAGCCAACCTTGACGAGATCCTAAGGCAGGCTGTTAGAGCAACACAACCTAATACGACTCCGGTTCATATAGGGGACAAGAGAAAGTTTTCTTCGATTGATCCTGGTCATCCTAATCAAGCAATGTTGAGAACTCTTGGAAACCCTATCCAATCGCCAGTCGCCCACAAAGTGCATCCAAAACCAGGCGCCTCGGCCAGCCTCGAAGAATTGCTGCAACAGGCGGTATTATCTCGTAGCACGACTATTCTCCCTACTCCCAAGTCGGCCAGCCTAGTCAAGCTTGATGAGATCCTCATGCAGGTCGTGTCCTCACACGGAGCGACACAATCTCACTCGACTGCTGTTCAGCGAGAAAACGAAAGTATTTCCCTTCCGAATTCCGGCCCTGCTGATGTCCATACCGAAGATCAGATCCAAGTTCCAGATGTCCACAAGAGGCGAACGGATAAGACTCCCAAGAAATCAAGCGAGACTGTAAGAGAAAGTACTAGTACTCCCAAAAAGATCAATACTCTTTCAAGTCAACCTTCAAGCAGTCGTAATTCTCAGTTTTACAGGCTTGAATTTACTCACGAGGTTCTTGGGACGAGCGACCCACTATCCGAAGACAAAATGTTAATTCCAGAAATCAGGAAGTTGAATCCAAAGGGACTTGATAAGATAAATCCAAAGAAAGTTGATACGCAAAATCCAGAGCAAGTTGATAATCCGAATCCAAACAAGAATATTGAAATCGCCATATATGAAAGGAACTACAAGCGTGCTTTGAAGATAATGAAAAAGTGCGACAGCATTATGAAACTCCACACATCAATTGAGTTAAAGGCCAAATACTCCAAAAAAAACCCAAGAAGATCATATGTAGAAGCGTATTATTCAAAGCTATGGCAAAATTCTACTGCATGGATTGCCTTTTGGAATAAAAGAACTAGTACCATTGACTTTGAAAAGGCCATCCCTCAGGGCCCTGAAAGGTTAAAAAAAGTATTCTTTCTCTTCATATTTTATGCTGAGATGATTGGCACAATATTTCCCAAGGTTGAAGGAAAATCTCTGGATGAAAATGATTCAACATTTCTTGAGTCTGCCATTGAAATATTCCATATGATCCATAATCCAAATCATGATCCCAAATTGAAGATGAGCAAAGACGAATTACTTGAATATCTGATCAGAACAGAAGGAGATGAAATTTTGGGAACTCTTCATGATGATAATCTCACAACACTGGTTTGGAGGTGCTTGAAGATTTGGATTGGTAAATCAGGTAGAGAGAAGATAAAAGATGTTTTCTTTTCAAAGCCACACACAGCTTCAATCTTTCAGGTTTTCTTTAACAAACTCTTTTGTCTTTCAATTGAACATTTTAATAAAAAATTAGTAGCAATATGACTTATTTTCCATCAAGAAAAAGACATAAAAAACAACTCCATAAGTAGTAAACTTCACTGAAATTATCCCATGTGGCATTTTGTAATAGTTATGAGGGTTTCTTCCCTTCTTTAGTCTATAGAAAACTAAATTGATCCCAATAAAGACATTCATATAGAAAACTAAATTGATCCCAATAAAGACATTCATTAATGATAAATCTCTGGCATCTTACCTTGTCATTTTCAAGTTGAGTACTTACAGTGAAAAAAAAAAAAAACATGAAGAATTATACAAGCAGTAGTTCAGATACATGGAGATGTCATATTTGAGTTGAAGAAAGAGAGGTATGATCAAGAAGTGGCATGGGTATGCTATCTAGAATGAGTTGGGATAGAATTTCACCAAGGGGAATAAATTACCACAGAACTGAAGAAAAACTGCTTATTCTGGTGAGTTTAATTCAAAACAGGTTTGGTGCCTAAAATTTTGGTTTACACAAGACTACATACCTGCTTTGGAGTTTCACTGGGTGCTTCAACCATCGCAGCTCTCTCAATCTTTCTGTCTTTCCCTTGGTTTTACAAGAATAAAAAAAATCAAAAGATCCTCTCTTTAGGTTCTTTTATTTTGTCCCTGTGGAATGCTGTTTTCCCCATTTATTTCTAAAGCATCTCTGGGGATGAAGGTTCTAAGATAGTTTTTTTGTAGTCAGCCACATTTATTTTAGTTGTTTTGATTACTTGTTTTGCCTCTTTGAAAAGAAAATCCACATTACTCTCAGACCATCCAGCCAAGCGGCATGCCAAAACAGCGGCGGGGGGATGAGGGCTGTTGTAGCACGTGTGTTACATCCCATCAACTAGCCGCAGCACGACACTGAGTACATATGACTTGGGATAACTCCCGAGTCCCAAGGCATACAGTTGGAGTGAATAATCATCTTCACCATTTCTGGTGCCATAGCCACAATAATGGCAAACATTTCCTCACGAAAGGTTCCCAGCTGTTCCCAGATTCCATGCTAGAATTTAATACTTTGTCACAAGTTTCTCCTCTGGAAGCATGTTCCTTACGCGAGGGGTGCTTTGCATCAGCCCAGGCTCTACTAGAGCCCTCCGAAGCGGAGGAGTTGAGTCAAGTTGGCCTTTCGTCCATTATCAACTCTTGAATCAGAGTGCATAGGAGTGCATGTACGTTCTGTCTCCGATGATGCAGGGGTCAAGTGTCTTTACTTCACCAGAAATCGCTGCAAACTAGTTTGACATTCAAAACTATTGATTCAGATTGGGGGGGGGGGGGATGGCATCCGGAGAGGTGAAATGTACCTCCTCAAACTTGCTCACGTTCAACGAAATAAAAAAATGATGAAGATTCCCAATCGCCACCTACTCCTAGTATTTTTGTCCTTGATAGCCTCCGGTGCTTCCTTAGAAGACTTGCCACGAGTTACCAGGGATTTTCTTTCTCGTTGGACTGGTGAGTGTTTCACAATGCGCTGCCTGCTCATAACTCTGTGCAACTTATATGTTCCATGAAATGGCCAGGTACCACTGGCGGCGGCGTTACCACCCCACAAGACATGGATGGCATAGATTTGCAGGCAAATTCTCTCACACTTCAAGGGACAGCTAAGGAGGTCGATTTCAGCTCGAATCTTACCAGTAGCCCTTACGGAGCTCGACAGAGAGGTGATTTGCCAAGCTTCAGTCCCCCGTTGCCCCCAGCTGAATGTAAGGGGAAAGATTCATTCCCTGGTTATCTTATTGGGGAGGTTCCAAGGGGATCGAGGCTTGTGCCTTCTGAAGCGCACATCCCGAATCGCAGCCACTAGAAGAAAAAGAGAAGACGAATGTTTTGTGCAATCTGAGATCTACCCCGAGGCCAAAAAACAGCTCAGAACGCTTGATTTGTTGAAGGGATTCGGACAGTATACCCCGCCAGACCCCTCAGCCAGCCTTGATGAGGTGTCAAGACAGGCTGGTTCCTTTGATAGGGTGGCCGAAACTGATGCGACTCAATTTCAGATAGATCATGAATTAAACCCTGTTCCGATTAATCCTGTTCGTACAAACCAAGAACTCATGAAGGCCCTTGAAAACCAAATGGAAATCCCAGCTTTCAAAAGGACCCGAAAGGATAAAACCTCTGTGCGATCTTCATTGTGTTCCACGTTCAACACGTATCAAGACTTTGATTTCCTTAGCAGATCAGTCAGGGGTTCTACCTCAGAGAAGTTCATGGGGCTCATGCCATTAATGAACGGGCAGGAATCTGCTCCCCATCAAAAAGACACTTTAAGTCGAGAAACCAACAGAAATCGACAAATCCATAGTCCTCTCGAAAGTACTGGAAACTTGAAAGTCAGTCCGACAACCACTAATGAATTACACCACAGATGGCGGAGCGCATCGGCTCGTCGTCGAATTTTTGGTTGAGCCGACCTGCCCGACCCCCGCCAGAAAAATGGCGCGCCTTATTGCGGGAAGGGTCGGATCCCGCGGTTGGCTCGACCGGCAATGCGGGCCCGGCGTGGCGGTTGCTGGTTGGCTTGACCTCCACCCGGGCCTGACGTGAGGGAATCTCGTGGGCTTGACATTTACCTCCTCTGCGGCTTGACCATAACGCTGGCCCGTCGTTGGCTTACATCTGTCAAGCCGCAGGGGAGGGGGGAGGGGGGGCCGACGATGGCTTGTCATGAACAATCCGACGAGGGCATGCCCCCAATTTCTCTTCAGGATGACCCCGACGTCAAACTTTCAGGGAACTCGAAAAAAAAACGAATCCGGCTGGTTTTTCTTTTGCAGAAAAACCTGCTGGATAGCAGTGCACGGGTCAAGAGGGGATGGCTTGGACGGATTTGTCACAAGGAATCCAACTGATTTTTAAATTAGAAAGAAAAATCATTGATACATACAAAAGCTTGATGAGATAGAGAAACAGGCGTGGGCATAACAACAGTACGATCTGGCCTTTTTTGATACAGAGACAGAGGAGGAGGGAAAAGAGACGTAATAGTATGTGATTCTTACTGGGTAGAGCTTGAAGAAGCCAGGGAGGCTTTAACATCATCAAGGGTGGGAAGAACAAGCTCCTCCTTACGGAAGGACTTGTAATCCCTCCCATGGGAGAACAACTCATCGTCTTTGTCTAAGACAAGTTGTGCGTGCCTGTTGGTTCAAGAAAAGGATCAAATCGTTAGTGATTGTGTCGAGATGAGAAATTGAAATTAACTTACGCTTGTTGAAAGCGTTTTGATGAAGTTCTAAGAACACGCAATCGGTCATCGATTGCGGCCCACTGAGATGCCTTGCTGGGCATATGTGCATAGTAGTAAACCATAACTAATCGTGCGTATGTCATTCGGATTCGCATCACACTGTTCTGGGCAACCTGAACTTCGATTTGTGACCGGGACATCTTTTCGTTGTTTGGTGGGAGATCGGAATAGATCTAGGAAGAAGGTGGCAAGGAGTTAGTTAAAACTTAAGGTTAAAAGTAAATGATTTAAAGACGACTTACACCGGCAATCATTTTATCGCGATGAGGAACAGCCCCCTTGATTGAAATCCTTTGGGTTTCTAGGATGTTTGCGAGAAGCTGCGGAGGGGAACATCAGCGACATTTGTTCCAATTTGAGCATGTACATAGATAATAAGACTTACCAGTGTGCGGAGATGGCTGCGCTGATATTTCAGAAGGACACCGACAAAATTCCGATAGGCCCCAAGGGCGCCTTCAGTCTCCTGAATCAAAGCTGGAGGGAGATGCTCCTCCTTCCAATCATCAGACTGCTTCTCAATTGCATCCTGCAATGTTGAATGAAAAAAAAAAAAAATGCGGTGTTAGTTGGGAGTCGGAAAACAAATGTGTGAAGCTGAAAGCGACTTACTAGGGTGAGATAGTATAAAGACCTTGCAAGGGTCCCATTTTTGTGTGGGTTGTTAGAGTATGCCTCCAGACTTGGGATGAGGAAGAACATCCGAGCCTTTGTCTTAATAAATTCCTGTGGTTGCCAAGCAAAGGGTTAAAAGCGAAAAAGATGCTTGGATTGGAAATTTGATACTTACTTTAAATGCCTCGTCATATATGTGATTGACCGTTCCGTTTTGTTTGGCCTCATCGAGCTGATGGAATGCGGCATTAGCAAAGATCGAGTTCGCATGTCTTGCTTCTGGTGCACACTATTTTGTACAAGATCGTTCAAGTTTTTGCATCAGTATTGATTAGCCAGTGATAGAGGAGAGGTACCGACCTTGCTAGTGAGGAGAGCAATCTTCAAGTGAGCAGGATCAAGCTCAAGTTTTTCTTGGAGATCGGAACAAACTTGAGCAACATTGTCGTCATCTTGCGGAGACGGATTGGGATCGGGTCGATCGGTCATGGTAGTATCATCGAGGGGTACAGACCCAAATAAATCTCGATGGTTAGCCTCCTCCAAGTCCTCAGACGGGCTGCAGTTGTTTCTGATTGGGGAAGTAGATTGATTTCGATCAAGACGATTTGGCAATGTCGTGCTGGAATCTTCATCATCGCCATAGATGATATCGTTCATGTTCATCTTTAAAGTATGCTAAAGATGGACATGAACAAGCAAGAGTGATGAGATGTCAGATGGGGATAAGAAGAATCAGAAGGAGAGGATGATCAATCAATAAGGTCAGCTGTGACTGAACTTGGAGGGTCACACCCGAGCAGAGGTGAGATCAAAAAAGGAAATGTGACCGGAAGAGAGGATGAGGGGCGATGTTGAGTGAGATCGGAGAAGAGAAGCACTGAAATGGCTTACTTTTGGAGTTAAATATTGGGCTTAAAATTGAAAATTAAATGGAAATATGGTAAAGGACAACAGTCAAAAAAAACTTACGATCTGGATCAATTGACCAATTTTGGACAAGTCATCGATTTTGGCCAAGTGAATCAAAAAAACATCTGTCAAAAATCAAATCAGCACGAAGAACATTCAAAAAAATGGATGTCAACTACAAGTGTGAGCCCAAGTTTTTTCTTCTTTTTTTCCGAGTTGAAATGAATGATGACAATTCAATCTTTTTGACTGTGGAAAAGATTTTGTACAGATAAATACAAGCAAGGGACCAAAGTACCGGTGCTGGTTGTGTAAGGGCCAGAGTACAAAGAATCGCAACCGCCATTGCCTCAACAAGCGACATCAAGATTTCGTCCGAGCAGATAACGAGCAACGTAGTCGAGTAGCATCTCGAAGGGCTGCTGCCAGGGTTTCAAATGAAGAGGTATTCGTTGTCAATAACAATATCAGCCAGATCGAATCGCTAGTTTTTGAGGATCAAGAAGATAGTCAAGCAGAAGAGTTGGAGTCCAACAGAAGTGAAGCAATCCACGAACCAAACATTTTCCCGCTGGATATCTTCGAAGAGGAGGATTCTGATAACGAAACCGACAATGCGGCTGAGCTGACCTGGATGCAGTTCCTCGAACTAGCGATTGGACAAATTTCTTCGGAACCAGACGAGCTTGCTGATGTCGACTCAATACCGTCGTTTCGCCAGGAAGAAGTAAAGATTGAGGATGTCACTCCGGACAGCTCGGTGTGGTTTCCCTTCCCAAGCAAAGAGGTAAGCACTTGAATTTATACAAAACAAAAACAAAGCCAAAAAAGAACTGATGCTTACCTTTTGCGCTCTTTTAAGTATCTTATCGGATCTCTTTTGATAGGTTATCTACACAAGTTGATATCGCGCGACTTGTACCACCAGATTTGTACTATCTTCACGTTATACGCCATTGGGCTTCCTGGTTGGGAGGCCTTGCGAATCATGCGAGCAAAGATCCGTTCGATGAGTAATCATTCTATAATCCAAAGGGAATCGGTGTTCAATCAGCCTATGTTTGGATTAGATGCTAGGCAATTGATATCTGATGTAAGTACTTACTTTTTGGTGGTTCCTTTAGAGCATGATAAGCTGAATGAGATTTCTTACCGGTTCTTTGCAGGATCTAATGAATCCATTGGTAGCACCACATTTGGAATTTGTGCCGGAGGATGCGCAGGGATTGAATATCTTCAAGTCTTCTCAGTCTCTCAAGTGGCTCAAACACTTTGAATCAGATCTTCGAGTCCAAATGGTTGAATACAACAAAAAACACTTCTATATCTTTGAGCCCGTACAATTGAAGAATTTTCAAATCACCATCCCAATCTTCTTCCACACCAAAAATGGCCAACTCTTTGCAAAATGCTACACACCAATTATAAAATCCAACTCAAATCATTCCACAATCGAAATACATGTTACTACTAAACCTACTCAGATGTCTTTTGATGAGGAGACTTTGGAAACCTTCTCTGTTGATGAATTTTCTCTTATTTACAATGAAATAAAATTGAAGAATGGGTTGATGTTGTCTGATTGCTGCCATAATAAAATTATTGGTGAGAAGTTAAATTTAAACAAAATGATTGAAAATGTACTGCATATACTCATTTTGTTTCTCTATTTTTTTGGGGGTGATGGAAAAATAAAAGAAGATGAGAAAAATTCAGACACTTTATTTCCAAATCCGTGGAGAAAAAAAGCGGCCGGAAAAATCTTAAGAAATGTTCCCATCAATTTATACTGTGACGACACATCTGGAAATAAATCTAAGAAATGGAATAAACACATTTCTTATTATTTCACACTCTCCGGATTACCGCCAAGGATATCCAATCAACAATTCAACTGTCATTTTCTTTGTACATCCAACATTGCGGGAGCCTTGGAGCTAGGAGAAATGGTTGTTGAACAGTTGAAGTATGATTTTTCTTATTATCATATTTCAGATTTTGTTGAATTTACTGAAGTTTTGATATTTTTTTATCTCCAGTGACATGGCCATCAATGGATTCCAAGCATATGATAGCACCATTGATCAAGAAGTCCATGTCATGACCAGCACATTGTGTTTTTTAGCAGATTCCCCAATGCATGCTGAAATCACCAACACTCACGTTCCTGGAAATTCTCTTAATTCTTGTCGGTATTGTCAGCGGTGGGCCGCTACGCTACACTACGCTACAGGCCCATGTAGCGTTAGCGTAGCGGCGCCATTTTTTTTTTTTTTCGCGTAGTGTTAGCGCGCCGCTACGGCCGCTGCGCTACGCTAATTTGTAGCGGCGCTAACACTCACCAATTTTTGGTGTAGTGTTAGCGCGCCTCTGGCGCCGCTACGCTGCGTTACGCTACGCTACAGCATTTTTAGCGGCAAAAAACCCCTAAAAACCGCTAAAAACTGCTGTAGCGCAGCGTAGCGGGCGGTTTTTTGCGCCCTGCGCGCGTAGCGTTAGCGCAGATGGGGGGAATTGCGCTAACGCTACGCTAAACGCTAGCGCAAGTTTTTTCCCCATGCGTGTAGCGTTAGCGCGGAAAATGAGAAAAGCGCTAACGCTACGCTAAATTGTAGCGGGTTTTCGCTACACTACGCTACGCTAACGCTACGGTTAGCGTAGCTGGCCCACCGTTGGTATTGTGATTTGAGTTGCAAAAAATTAGAAGACAGAAAGAAGACACCTTATATCTCAAAATTTGCACAGAAGAACTTACATGGGTCAAATGTATGCTGTTGTTTTTATTTGTCTATTTTTAGCTCACTGGATGAATTCTCATGCATTCTTTATTTTTATTTCAAAAACCAGTGCGCAAATCAAATTAGAACAATGGAAAAAACTGTCGAAAACTCTAAAAAACTCTGGACGTATGCCAAGGAACCTTTGATGAACTTGGAAAAACTGAACAAAAAATCTTCCGATTTAGCTGTTCGAGACCAAATAAATCTAACATTTTGCAAACAACTATTTGACTTTCAAGAGAAAAAACTCAACATACTTCAAGCTGGGGAAGAATTACCACCTGATATGGATCAAGATGTTCCTCAAGTACTGGTGGATATGGAAAAGAATGAATATAAAAGGATGTTCAGCCCTTACTTGGAGTTGAAAGGTATTTTCTGGATTTTCCTTTCTCATCCAAATTTTACTTTTAACACTCTGTTTTTTATTTTTTTTTGTCTCAGGCTTTGACACAATAAAGGATACACCTGTCGAAATTTTACACGTATTTTTGCTTGGACCGGTGAAATATTTATTTGGCGATTTCATGAAAGGATTGGATGGTGATCAAAAAAAAGAACTCTTGGCATTATGGAACTCTTTTAACACAAACTCTTTAAATATCCCTTCCATTAGAGCCACCAGTATGGTTCAATATTCATCAAGTTTGATTGGTAAAGATTTCAGAATTATCCTTCAAGCAGCTCCTTTCATATTTTTCCAGTTCATGACTCCATCACAAATCCACATCTGGTCTTCTCTCTGTCATCTTGCCTCTTTAATATTCCAAACTCATATTGACAACATGACAGAATATATTTCTGATTTGAAGAATCATATTGACATATTCTTAAATCATATAATTAGAGATACTGCTCAATGGGTTAATAAAGCCAAATTCCATATGTTACTTCACCTCCCAGAATCTATCCTGCGCTTTGGTCCAGCCAGTCTTTTTGCCACAGAAAAATTTGAAAGCTATAATGGTATCCTTAGAAATGCTTCAATTCACTCCAACCGCCAAAGTCCTGGTCAAGATATAGCTATCACATTCAGTAATTATCACTCCTTCCGGCAAATAATTTCAAATGGTTTCTTTTTTGATAAAAAACAGAAACAATATGTGCAATCTTCCCACTTAGTCACAAATACATTTACACGTAATCCCTTAATTCAGCAAACTTTAGGATACAATCAATCAGCATCCCTTCATAATTTCAGTTATCCTTTTGTCAAGAAGCTAAAAGTTGCACAAATTGATCAAATATCAACCCCTGAAGATCTGAAGATTGCTCACCCTGGCTACAATATCCAGCAAATCTCTGAACTAAATTTGAATGAAAAGCATGTTCTCAAGAAGAACTATTTCATCTTGGTAATTCTGCACCATAATTTTCTCATAAGTTTAAATTTTAATCCTTTGCTCACAATAAATTTGATTCTGTATAGTTTAACATCACCCATCCTCAAGAAGTTCAACATATTGGATCAATCAACTCCATTTGGAAGGTCCAGAAGCCATTTCATCAAAGCATGTATTTTATCCACACAACCTTGTTTCAAAAGGCCAACAAGAATTCTTACTACAGGATGAGAGAGATTCGGCGAACACCTCACTCCACCTTTGTGAACTCACAAGTAAGGGTTTTAACTCAGTTTCTTCTTAATTCAAATCAGTTTTCTAAATTTCATTTTGATTTGATAGAATATCGAAGCTGGTTTGAATGTCCAGCACAACTGCAACCGCGGTGAATGTAAACTGCTGGAAACTAGGATCGCCACTGTTGAGCGACAGAAAAGTACTAAGAAGACGTTGGAGTTGACACACACCAACACCGATCAATACATAGTCAATCTTGCCTCACTTTCATCTGCTCCTTCACATCGAAAATTCTCAGATATTGTGGTTGATTCTGCTGGACCACTCAATTGGGTTGATGCTATGCACGATGGATCGAAGAAGTGGGGAAAAAATGTCGAGAAGAAGGAAAAAAAGGCTAAAAACAAGGCATCGACTTCATCTCAAGCAAGAATGGATCCGGATCTGATGGGATGAGCGAGGTTTGTGAATCTAACTAAAGTTTACAGTTTATCAATAGTCTAATACAGTTTTTTTTTGGTTCAGTCAATTCAATCTCGATTTTGACATTGTAGATGGTTGCAAGAGATTTTTTAGTGGTAGGGGCCTTTTGATGAAGAGGCAGCCCAGTCGTCCAAGCTGAAGCCTACGCCAACATCGTGAAGCTTCCGTCCCCGTGGGATTGATTGAAAATGCGGCGACTACGACGGACCGGCTTGTTGGGAGAGATCTTTTTAGTCTAGCATTCAAAAAAAAACATATTATGTATTAGATTTATGCACAGACTGTGCTACCGGGACTGAAAAATGGAAACAAAAACATTACCGGTGTTTTCTTAGCTTTTATTTCCTCATGTGGCGGCTCATCAGCCGGAGGTTGTACGTTCTCTGCCTCAGGTTCTTGTTTGATCACCTCGCTGGTTACCTCAATGGCTTCATTGATTGGCGGGATGTGAAACTCCGGCGTTTGGGAAAGCTTAAGTTGAATCGTAGTAGTCATTTTTTTGACGGGTGATTGGGTTTGGTTGGCGTTGGGTTAGACTGACCACGACGTGGCCCGGTGGTGCAAGATTCTTTCAAGGGGAGGGCAGTGATGGATGCCTTGATTCACGACGGCTCAACCAGATACCCTCGTCCGCCTGCCCATCAGAGCAACACTTTGTCGGCGGAGAGGGCTGGAATGCCTTGATTGACTCGCAGGTCAAGCCAACTCTGCCGACAGATGGCTTGTCGGCAGAGTCGGCTTGACCTGCAAGTCAATCAGGGCGTGCTGTGGTCGGCTCAACCAGGGTTCACCGTCAGCTTGACCCTCCCTTCAATTCCAGGTCAAGCAGGTCATGCCTCACCTGGCCGACTCGATTTTGACCCCGCTGCGGGTTTGACGCTCGGGAACAAAAAATATCGAGCTGTGGTGTATGTATCGACCTTCCTCCCAATCAACTCCACAAAAACTTTTTTTGATCACAAGATTCCAACAAAACTGAGGGTTCTAATTGATGAGTCTCAAACTAACTGGCAGTCATTTTCCTCCACCGAGTTGTCCACCCCATCATCCACAAATCACTCGCAGCTCAGCTCATCCGTCACACCCTGATTGTCAATCAATCTGACCCGCTCAGAGTTGGTTGAGCTTAATTTTCTCAACTTTCTGCGCGAAACAAAAGAACAAAAAAACTAATGTCCATTTGCACTGCAAACCCGATTGTTTGCCCTGCATGTGCGATTCCATCCCATGACCCAATGTTGTCGCAGTGCATGTGCAAAATGCGATTCAAGCGCTTTTGTGAACGCTTTATAAGAAATGATCGATCATCGTCAAAAACTTCAAAATCGATCGTTTTTTGTTTTGCATGTTATCATAAAAACATGGACTGATCGGCTCAAATCTGTGGGACATTGTGAACCTACTGTCGATCATCAGTTGTTGCAAACTCTGTGCATTTCTTATTTGTCTCGACTTTCAAGAATAGCTCGTAAGTCTGCATACAGTCACCAGAATATCCAAGGAATCTCGACCGTTTGGTTGTGATCACATGCAAGGCTTGGAATTCAAATGAAAATAAAAAAAAAAAAAATAAGAGTCTTTGATGAAATGGTGTTTCGGACTCCTGATGGTGGGCTACAATATGAGGAAAAGGGCTTGATGAGTGTGTGGGTATCCATAATTGGGCAAACTCATACGGATATCTAATGACTAATCACGTACCATCCTGGACATGGATCCTATCGATTGCCGCCGTATTTCAAGCCCGATTATAGAGAGGAGGAGATGAGAATCAAATCACGATCCGAATGGCGGGTGCGGGTATAATATGGTGGTCGACTGACCGTACTTTCCAGTCGAGGTATCTAATGGCAACCAGGGAGCGCGGAAATCCCTAACGGCAGAGCAGTTTCTTCAGCTATAATTGGCTATGAAAGAATAAGAAGCAAGGTGAGGACTTTTACATCGACCGTAACGACAACACCTTTCTTGGGCTAGTCTCGACATCTGACTGCAATCGACTAAGAAGCGCATGTAGAGAGAGTCTTTAGCATCCATCCCGGAAGCTGTTGGGTCTGCGTAGGAAGGATAAACTGATCACAACTGTCTCACTGTAGGGTGTGTCTGAGGGATCCGGAGTGGAACCGGCAAGCTTGAAAGTGCCAATCAACAGAATAATAAGACTGTTATAAAGACCAAGAGCCAACATTATAGCAATGATTTTTTTGGTGGTTATCGGGATTGAAGCGAGTAGGCAAAAGCAGACTGTGGTTTGGATTTCTTGTGGCAGCGGTGGGAC